CATTATAACCAGCCCCAATGCAGCTGTGGACACCCATCAGCTGCCTGGAGCTGCAGAGGCTACTTGGTCCTGGAAGGCACTGCCCAATGCCCAGTTCATTGCATAGGCTGCTCATATGGTCTACAGGGAACCAACCTTCACTGGACGTTCATACTGTTCACCAGGCCTCAGCAGAAGTCTGCTTTCTATAAGCTTCACCCTGGACAGTACTTCCTCCCAACCCCCGTGCTTAACTCTTGTCAACCCTTCTCTGGGTGTGGCTCTCTTAGTGCCCACCCCCACACTAGCTGGAACTTGCTCTCATTCTGCACACATCTGTGAGAAGCAACCACAGCAGCCCTAGTGGGCTGCACACACTGCCCTCCCTCCCCCAATGCAGAGAGCAGCTGGTGTGGACTCATATCCAGGGTCAGCGCCCTGCAGCTTCCCTGCGAGCTCCAGGACTGAGTCATGTCTGTATTCCCAGTACTTGGCGCCAGGCCAGGCTGGGGGCCGGTGAGTGTCTATGGAATTGGCTAAATGAGTATCTCTGCTGGAGGCAGTCACGGGCATCACAAGCAGCCATGGGCATACCCGGAAGGCTCCTGTCCAAGAAGCAGGCTGAAATTTGTTGCAAAGAGCCTGCAACCCACCTGAACCCACCTACCCCACTGACCATCCTCAAAGCTACAGGGCTGTGTCTCTGTCTGCAGAGCTAAGACCCAAAAGGGGCCTAGAGACTTTTTCTTCCAAGGCCTTGTAGATAGGCAAATTTGAGTCCCCATGAAGGCGGCCTTTGCTGGTGGCTACAGAGCTGTGGACATGCTAGAGTTCCCAGAACCAGCTGTCCACTGACCGCAAAGTACAGGTATCACCCACCCTATGGTTTCCCTAAAATGTGTTTTTTCAGTATTGAAACTTAAATTCTGCACCAAAAGCACAAGGAATAACAACAACAAAAACTCAAAGCCTGTACCTCACAAGCCACCACATATCTGTTAAGTCTTATATCCAGAATATTTAAAGAACTCTTAGCACCTGCTAATGAAGAGAGAAACGAGCCAATTTAAGGACAGCTTGAGATCCAAAGAGAAGCACCAAATGGCCAAGAAGCTCAGAAGATACTGGACATCATTTTTTATTAGGGAACTGAGTCAAACTTGTGCATATTCATAAAGGCGGCACCAACCAAGAGACAGAGAATAACATAGAGCACGAAAACATAGAGATGCTGGAACCTTGTGCTTCGCTTAAGATGGGATGGCAGTTGTGGAAACCCGACTCACCCATAAGCACATAGCTGTCCTGTGACTCAGCAGCCTGATAGGCACACATCCAAAGGAACTGCAAATGCATGTCCATGTAAACCTTGAGTGTGAGTATTCAGTGTTCAGCATGATTTGTTCTAGACAGTGATGACAGCCCAAATGTCCACTGACAATGGATAAACAAAATGTGGTCCACCCACAAAGTGGAATGTTATTTGGCAACAAAAAGGAACGGAGCCCCAAAATGTGTCACAGCACGGATGAACCATGCCAACAGTGGGTAGTGTGAAAAAAGCCAACACAACGCCCTGCGTACCATGAGACTCCGTGTCTACTGTGAAAATCCAGAATGTGAGGAGAGGTGGAAAAGAAGTCCTAGTGATTATTTAGTTGGGGTAAGAAGTAAGGGGAATTGAGGAATGATGGCATGATTTCAGGTGATTTCTTTTTGGAAAAATGAAAAACTGGTTAGAATTTTTGGGAGCCAGTTATGGCAGTGCACACCTGGAATCAGCACTCTGGGAGGTTGAGGTAGGAGGATTTTAAGCTCAAAGCTAGCCTGCGGAATTTAATGGTTTAGCAAGACTCTTGTCTCAAAATAAAACATAAAAATGGCTGAGGATTTAGCTCAGTGCAAAGATCCTGAATTCAATCCCTTATACCTCGGATGCGTTAAAATAAATGCCCATGGGATGTATATACAGAGCTGTCTAATATACCAAAAGCTATCAAACTGAATACTGTCAGTAAATTGTATGGTCTGTGCATATTTCAATAAAGCCATTTTCTAAATGCTTAAATACTCTTTAACCCTAAAACAAGAATATCTAGGTGCTCTTGGGGAATATGCTGGTTATGTGTTTTCCAATGTCTATTAAATACATATCCACTGACTTCCGATGGTTTCCCTCCTATCCATCATTCTCTGCCCTCCATTTTCCCCCATGAAGATCCCCAAGGGAAAATGCTGTGTCCATCTAATTAATTCATGGTTCGGTACTGAGAACTTAGAAGGTGATTATGAGCTCACTAGAGTAAGCCCATCCTTACAGAGAAATGCTAATAACGGATTTTAATTTTATGCTATGGTCATGAACCACATATGTTTTTGTATTCAACACATTCACAGGGGACAAGAACCCTGCAGACAGTAGCCTCAGGCCTGGCCTGGTCAGAGGTCATCCAGGTGTCTGGCTGGTGGCAACCAGACTACAGTCCATAACAGACTAGGGTCTAGGTGGGCAGACTCGGGTCTCAGGTGCCCAGAAATGCCTAGACCTGACCCAAGGAGAAGCAGCAAGATGACCAAGTTGGGAGACAGCTTCAGGGTTTGTGGTGTGGCCATGCACCCCTGCAGATGTGGGGTCCCTGTCTCTGATTGCCCTTTGTCCTATGCATATCTTAGGGCAAAGGCCTGGGGTGGCCTTGTGCACCCACAGCTTTGCTCTGACTCTGCTGAATCTCAAACACATATTTTCCACACATTTTGTGAGTTCTAGTTTCTCTGATTTCTGCAGGGTCTCAACCTTGTGTCCATGACCCCACTGTGCCCTGGCATTGACTTCTTACTCAGTCCATGCATTGAGGTTAGCTGGAGGGCTGCCCCCCAAATTTGGCTTCCCAAGGGCCCCACCCACTGGGCTTCCCAAGAGGGCCCCAGGGCCAGGACTGCCAGAGGTAGGCACCTGACATTTGCCCTTAGTCCCTTGCACAGCCACTTCAGAGACATGGCAGTGGGGGAGATGTACAGGGCTCTGAGCTCCAGGTTGTCACCTGATATGGCAGCATGCAGCACTTCCTTGGCTCCACCATGGGGATGACACACAAAACTCAAAGGCCCGTGAGCACCCCTCACTATGGCACTGCCCATGTTGTGGGGTGCAGGGAACCCAGCAAAGTTCAGTACATGGCACACTGTGCCATTGCAGAGTATGGAGGAGAATGTAGGCGGCAGGACTTAGGCAGGGAAGGGACCAGGACAAGAATCTAGACTTCATTTCTTACTGGCCAGGCCATTTGAGTCCACAGGCTTTTCCTTCCTAAGACCTGGGCTGCAGGAGCTCTCCCAGCATGAAATGTCACTAGCCCGGAAGATGTGCCCACCAGACTTGAGGCATCAGTCTTCAGGAGCTGTGCCCTCACAGCACAGATGATAAAAAGGTGAAGACACTGTCATTTTCCACTACTGTTGCCATATCCCAGCCAGCAGCTACCTGTCCAGACCCATTTGGCACCTGGCAGGCTCTGATTCTTTAGTACCTCTGCCTGTCACAGGACAAGGGGCTTTCAAACAGTCTCCTCATAGGACTTTAATCTCATGGCTGTCCTCCCTCAACCAGGAATGGGGTTGGCAGGTAGCAAAAAGTCCAAGGAGTTTCGTGTCTCCCCGGCAGCCTGGCCAGCCATGTCCCCCTCAAGCTGTAGAGATGGCTCCTGCCTTGCTTGTGAGGGAACAAGGCAGGCACCTGGGTTCTCCCAGCTGCAGAGGGGACGTGTCCACTCATGCATCTGCTCTTGGGCCAGCACACCATAGGGCCTGAGAACTACAAGTTCAAACAGAGACAGGAAGGAAGCCCTGTGAGCACACAGCCCCAAGACATGGTGGCCTGATGCCTTCATTCCAAGGCAGAACATGAGGTTGTTTCAGAAGCCCATGCCACATTCCCCGGGGTTCTCTCTAATCCCCGGGAGCAGTCTGTCCTCAGCCTACAGCAGCGGTGCTGCCCAGTGCCACTCCTGCACCCTGCATCTGGGGCCAGCTAGGTCCTAGGGAAGCCAGGGCACAACAGCTTCTCCTCTTTGAGTCTGTCATAGTGTTCAGAAATGACAAAGTGTATCTTAAGTGTTCCAGAGCTTATTTCCACCATTTTAGAAATATGAACATAACAGTGGTTAGGAAATACCCTGTATTTCTGGCTTATCTTGAAAATTAGAAATCAGGCCAAAAGGCAGCGATCTGGTGAACCTAGAGGCAGGCAGCCCTCCAGCGGGAGCCACACACTGCACAGCAGCAGCCTGGCCTGGCCCAGCGGACACACTCCAGACCTACATGGGCTCACGGCACCTGGATTTGCCAACTGTGCTACAGACAGCCAGCTCTCCTGCTGGTGCCAACATGACACTGTTTGGAACTACAGAAGCTGTGAAGCAGTCTTGGACCACTGTGGGGTGTCCAAGCCCCATGAAGGTGAATGTCACAAACTGCGGAAGCATATCCTGCCCTTCCTGGGAGTTCTTGTGTCACACCGTGCTCTGACACTGACTTTAGCGATGTGGTTTGTTTCTACGACAGGGAAAACTGTAGGCAACACATTGACAAGAGCCACCACCTGGCTTTATCAGAACATTTCATTGGCACTTTGGCCTCTTTATCACTCCCAGCTGTTGGGGCCAAGAAAAAGAGACCTGTCACACTGCCAGAGACCCTAGATAGGGACATCCCAGATGGAGATGCCTCTCAAGGCCACAAGAGAGTACACAGGCCCTCTCCAGAGTGACTGCCTTTGGGGCCCAGTCTTTCTCATCAGAAACACAAACCCTCATCCTCACTGGGAAGAGTGACCAGCAGCTTTCAGGCCTGCAGTGCAGGTCAGCGAGGGTGGCTGTGGGAGAAGAGAAGGGCCAAGGGCAACACTACCCTGGATGCCTGTTCAGCAAACACCCGCAACTCTCCCCGACACTCCCCAGGAGGAAACACTGTCTTTCCTGGCAGCAACACCCCACCCAGCCTCATGCCTGACCCCGGGCACTTACTTCATGGGCTTGAACAGCGCTTGCCCGTAATTCTGGAACGTCATGACGAGCTTGAGCTGCGTGCCCCCCGACTTCATGGCTGCAGGAAGGAGGGAGAGAGAGGTAGGGTCACTGGCTGCCTCAAACCCCTTGCTCTTGGGTGGGAGGAGAGCTCCTGGACCTGTTTACCCTCCAGCCAGATCATCTGCATGAGGCCAGGAGCCCTACTCTACCTAGGAGGCTTGGGGCTTTGGTGCTGATGCTCCCTGGCTGGACCAGGGCCCTCCTGAATGTCAGCTGTCAGCGCTCAGCAGACTCTGTAGATCAGACCCAAAGACAAAGGCCTGGCTCTGTATGAGTCAGGCAGGTGGATCTGGCCACCAGCATAGTTGTGCATGCACATGCACATGTATGTCTTATACACACATATATACCTATACACAACAGCACAAACACCTATACCCCTACATGTATGCACACTCCCTATATACACATACATGCCTCCCATACCTACACCCTTGCACACACTTACACCTGTGCACATACATATCTGCACACACACACACCCTGTGCTCACAACCACATCTCACTCCTGGCCTTAGGTCAAGGAGCAGTCCCTGCAGGGCATGTTTCTGGATTCAAAGTAGAGTTGCTCTAAGGGATCCTAAGCACTTATCGGCTGGAAGCACCTTTATCCATAGGAATGGTAGGTATGGAAGCTTCCAGAAGCACAGGTTTCTAGTACCTCAGAAGGATGAGGATGAAGAACTCATGAAACAGTGCCAATTTCCTAGGTCTTGGATTCCCTTTCTGTAGAAGGCTGAAGGTCTCCCAAAAGGGTCTTTCTTTCCCAGACCCAGAGTTTCCCTTTCTGCATATTGAGCAGGAGGATGGATCAGGAGGTGAGCTTCCTGCCCTGAGGCCACAGTGAGGTCAGTTCAGGGATGGCTGAGGTCATGCCCTCCTCAGAAGACAGCAGTCATGTACCTCACGTCCACCCAAAAGCAGGATGTAACCAAGGCCCAGATCCAGGGAGGTAGACAGTAATGTCATCCTCCTAACCAGTGTCTAGGAATGTCTAATGGCACAAAGCAAGGTGTAAGCAAAGGGCCTACAATTCAACTGTTAAGCAACTTATGAAGCATTCATACACAACAGGCCATCTTCCGAAAACCACAGATACCACGGGACTTTTCAAACCTGGATATGTGCAGGAACCCAGAGCCCTGGTTCTCTCCCAAGTGTTACTGCAGATGACTTAAATTTTCTGTTTCTCTTCATCTCTAAATTTCTACAATAAACATTTACTAAATTTTTGGTAAGATGAAAAAAAGAAGTGATAATTTTTAAAAAATAGTTGCTTAAGTCCCATTTTACAATCCCATTTCCATGCAATAATTGGGGTCGCTGGACTTAATTATCTCTTTCTGGGTCAACTGGAGACAGCACACCTAGATGACAGGTTCTCTCCAGGGCCTGTAATCCTACTTTTTAAATAACAAAATATTACACAAATCTGATCAGTTTAAGCACTATTGCTTCAGAAGTAAATCCTGACTCTCTTTCTTTGATCCCATGTATAGTCAGCTCCTCCTTCAGGGCAGAAAAGCAATTTGGAATCAAAGGCACTAAGCTTCTTGGTGACCACAGGCCCCAGGACTATAGATTCTCTACAGACCAGGTCACCATGCATCCACAGGTGTCAACAGCTGAAATGGGGACCCTGCTGTGAACTCAGATCCTCACAAGCTGACACACACTGCCTAGAGCTGCAGCAAAGACCCAGGGGTTTAGCCAAGGTGGACAAGAGATGCAAGACCCCCAGGTATGTGTGCTATGTGGACTGCCCGCAGTATGTCCAAAGGACATAGGCCCTGTCAGAACAGGCACTGAGAAAGAACATGAAAACTTGGGTTTTCTTCTTAAGGACAGAGGGAAGGTCAAGGTGAGAGGAAATCTCTGCATGTTAGTAGGGACAAAGGTGACTCTGGAGAAGCACAGGGACTGGTCCAGGCAGAACAGCCGATGTAGATAACTTCCATGTTTGTCAAAAGACAGACGTCAGCTTTGACCTGGCCAGTCTCGGCCTTGGGATGGCCTTAGTCCAGCAGAAACCCCACCAAGGGCCAGCCAAGGAAGTTTCACCTCTGGAAGGTTCCTGCCAGGATGAGTCCCGGGGATCTACCCTCTTCATCCCACCTTCCATCTCCCCTCCCACCCCCTGTGGCCACCACCCAGACCTACACCACCATAGTCCAACTGCCATCTGCATCAGACCCTCGAGGGCTTCCAGAGGTCCCTTGGTGAGTGCCACCCACATCTCCCACACAGGGGACTCTATCCTTCGCTTCTTCTTGCTCCACAGACCAGAGGTAACAGCTTTGCATCTTCCCTGGGATCCCCATCTAGAGCGCTGTCTAGGTTAGTAGCATGTTTGGTTAACAGTCTCATATGTCTGCAGGCATCGTTACCAAACCATGCTGACAAGTGCCAGCAGAGCATCCTGTCTCATGGTGCCCCGTGGCACTGAGTCCCAAGGCTATCGTGATGCTTGGGCACTGCTGGGTTTGCTCATTGTCTTCCCCTAGAACATAGCACAGAATGAAGGACCCTTTTAATGTGATACAGAAACCCCAGAGAGTGCTTAATATAAACTTCTTATGCAAGAGAATGACTGTCATTATGGAAATACTAAGGCATTGGTCACCTGCATGACTTACTCTCCCAACAGCTCCATCTGGGAATTTCTGAAGCGGGGACAGGCAGCAGCAGGGAGGAGATTCCCCTAACGGGGACGTATGTAACTGCCTAGGGTCCCAGCACCCTCGTGTGGAGCAGGGAGGCCGAGGGGCAGGAGATGTGGGACCAGGTCCTCCACCAGCTCCTCACATGTCCAGAGGCACAGTCATGTCCCTGGTGCCTATAAGGGACAGAATGGCACTGGGTATGTGTGTGAGATGATCAAGTAGCCACCACTCAACCCTGGTTTCTTGTGGGAACAAGGACTGGCACCAACAGTCTCTCACTTTCTAACAGGAGCCCCAGCTGTATTCAAGGGGGCCACCTCTTGACTTTTATATAAACTAACTCCATTTCTGAAAGATCTGTGGACCAGAGAAGAAGTCCCCATGTGAAATGTAGCTCAATATGAAGTGGAAGCTAGGCCTGGCCTCCTCATCTGGAGGTGGTACTGTGTCCTTGGGTCACCGTGGGGAGGGGACTCAACTGCTTCTTACCCCACTGTCTTATTTGAAAGGCAGAGGGAAGGTTGATGGCCTTTGTGCCACAAAGAACACATCCATTGAAGGTTCCCATTGGGAGAAAGTGACACCCTGTTCCTCTCATCCCGCTCACATGCCCTTGGCTAAAAAGGAGTCTTGTGAATGGCCCACACTCTGGATACCCACAGAGCTCCTTATGTCCACTGCCCTGGAGCCCTGGACAAGTGCACCGGGTGTGTCCACCTGCCATCAATGATGGTCATCCCAAGTGGCATTGTAGAGGCTGGACTGTGGGCATCAGCTCAGACATGAGAGTCCAGGATGGGCTGAATGGTTGCTGACACAATTGGGTCTTCCTGTTCCCATCTGTGACCTGGAGGCTCCAGCTCAGGGGTTATGGTCAGCGGATCCACCCCTCCGTCAGCATATACCCCAGGCCTGCTTCTGCCCTGGCTTCCCCCAGGCTGGAGCTCTGGATTTTGAGGACAGTAGTCACCTGTGGTACTGGGTTCCACAGTGCTGCCTGGGGGGAGGGGGAACCAAGGGTCATCAGGAGGCTTCTGTAGGTTCAGGGCTATTTTCAGCCACTGTCTCTGTTCAGCATGGAAAAGGTAGGTGCCAGGGTGACCCTGGGTCCTCAATAACATAGGCTTTCACTCCTGGCCTTCCAGCTGATGGCTGGAAAAGAAGCTGAGCAAGGGTAAGCTGCTTCTGCCCTCTCTGTGACCCAGACCACCACCCTTCCAGGACCTTTGTCCTTTGGAAGATCTGAGGCCCCTCTGGAGTCACGTGCATCTGTTTATTTGGGCATTTTTAGTCCCTCTCCTGGCCAAGCCAGGTCCTGGACTGTGAACTGCAGTTGTGGTGGGCATGAGAGGACTGATGTCTTTCTGTGCTGGCACTGCCTTCCCAGGAGATCCACTCCATTTAGTCAGACAGGGCAGCTGTGTCCAAGCCCAGTACGCACAGCTGCTCTTAGTGGGGCTGCCCCAGCCCAAGGCCTTTGTTCCTCAAAGCCCACAGCCAATTATCCCGGATTCCAGCTCGACTCCTTTTTCCCCTTGGCAGATCAATTAGCACTGGGGACTTCTGTCCTGTGGAGACGTTTTCCTTTGTTCAGCCACATTCTTTCAGCCATGTTCCCCCAGCTGCAGGCTTTGTCCTGACTTGGATGGAGGATGATGATGTCCGTTGCTTGGGTCAGAGGCTGCTAGATCCTCGCATGCTGGTGGCTTCTTTTTTTTAACGTAATTCCAAGTAGAGTAGTTAATTGTGTCATTTATTCTTTGCATCCATAATTGTGCATGATAGCGATTTAATTATCACCGGCCTGGAGTGGAAGGCGCTGCATGCCTGCCTTCAAGCTGAGCAGAGGTGGATCATATGCTGAGCCTCTTTAAAGGCGGCAACAGCTGGTTTCCAGGCAGCCAGGAGTCTGGCTATAAATAAACCTCTGTTGGCCACAACCAGCTGTGCTGTGGCCACACAGAGCCTCATGGATGGGAGCGAGTGGCTCTGAGCAGGGGAGATTTAATGGAACCATTCTGAGGTCTGACCTCGCAGGCAGCCTTCCTGGTCGCATCTCCAGGCTCACAGTAGGGTGAACAACTTCAAGAGTAAACACTGCCCCAAGCCAGACCACGAAGGGCTGCTACCACAGAGGAGCCTCCCCTCCTGGAGGTCTGTTTCCCTGGCTGTAGAATGAAGCCTGGGAGGCAGGGCTGGACCCATGCTAGGCCCCGCACTATCAGGTCCCCCTGCCACATAAAGGACCAGCCAGGGCTGCCATGTCCAGTTGAGTGTCCACCTGAAGGCTCTGACCAGCTCTTCCTACATGGAAGGATGCCTGGGCAGCTGACACTAAGTTAGACTGCCTGGGGCAGGAGGAGTGGAGCTGTAAAAGGATACCATCTCCAGGAGGGCATGTATTCCCTGGGGCACTCCTTTGAGCCACTCCCCGCAGGGCAGGACACCTGGGCCTGAGGAGCTCAAGCAGCTTCTGTTCTGCCCAAGGTGAGGATCTCCCACCTCCTTGGGAGTAGGGCCTTCCCTGGGGGTGCCCTGCCTGCAGGATCTCTGGGCCCACCACAGCAGGGAAGAGTAAGACCCTGGGAAGGCACAGGCACCTGCCCAGCCCTGGGTCCCTAGGCAAAGGGCTCAGCCTGCCTGAAATGCCACAGCTGCTGGGCTCCACTCTTATTCCGTACTTGCTTAGTCTCACTGGCACCTGTCTACACCAGAGAAGGTGTCATGGGGCCACCTCTCTGAGCCTGTGAAACAACAGTGTCTGGAGATCATGATGGGGAAGCACTCAGGCGCACACACTCTGCCTGGCACACATTGCACACCTGGAGGGGAAACAATCCTAACACCTGCTTCTCACAGAATACATGTACTCACTCTTTCCAAAGTTAGCATCTACAAGCACCTGGGCAGTCAGGATTTTGCCCCTGCTCCAGGTGAGGACCAAAGGTAGCAGGGTTAAATCTTTTTGCCTAAGTTCACTCCAGCTAGTGACTAGAGAGCCAGGATCATACCCTATTCTGGGATAGGATCTCACATCCTGCCTCTGCCATAGGTCTGTCTATCAATCCACTTTCCACACCTACTGAGCTCCTACAGAATGATGGTCCCTTCCCACCCTGCAAATAGACCAATCCAGGCACAGATGAGTGGAACCAGCTTCACCATCATAGTTTAGGGGACAATTGTGTGCCATGCAGCACTGTGTGGATGCCAGGGTGCACATGGGCCTAGCAACGGGGTTCCATCGTGACAGGAGTTGTCCACTGCACTATGACCAAGGCCAGGCCTATGGAGAGGGAGGGAGGAGTCCTAAGGTGGGCAAAGCTACCGCTTAGGACCTAGAAGCCCAGCCTCTTCCTACTTCTTGAGCTCTTGGGCTCAGAGACCTGCACCTCTGCACAGAGCAGTGACAGCCTTGGTACCTATGCAGCCCTCTACTGCACCTGCCCGCTGGCCTGTGCACACCTCCACAACTGCCACATATCCTCGTGGCCACAAGTGCCTCTCCTTTCTCCTGGCTTCTAGGCCCACAAAGGCAGCAGTGCTTGTGGAGGCTGGAGTAACTCCACCTCCCCATCACCCAGAAGGGGGCCCCCAGTGTCTGTACTAAAGGGATAATCAAGCTGGTTAGCACACTTATTTAACAGATATACCTATTTTCCACAGCAAGAGGGACATCTCGATGTGGCCAGAGTACTGCTCCCATCTTGGCCTGAAGTCCCTGGACTTCCAAGGGAGAGGCCCAGAGCAGGAATGTGTTCCTTCCTCCTGGGCAAGATGGGGAGAGGGGAGACTACTAACTGTTCTGGCCACCTCTTTACCAGATGACCCAACTGCATATTAGAAGTTTTGCATCGTGACTTCCACAGCTAGATGACAGCCCAGCAAACAGCTCAGTAGGGGAGCCACACAGAGCCTCTAAAGAGGCAGCTGGCGGGCACAGGTAACTCCCTGCCTGTGCTGCATCTGAACAGAAGCCCGTGACCCTGTAACCAGAGGTGCATCTTGCAGCAGAACTGCAGACATGAATACAGAAGCTGCAACCATGACGACACAGGGAGTCCTCCCCTCTATTCCAAGGTGAGTGCGCCAGAGCATCTGTGGGAAGCACAGGGACCTCAGCCCATGGAGAAGCAGCAGTGGTTAACGGGATATTCAGGATTATTCACAATAGAACGGCAGTGGCACCAAACCTGGCACTTAGATGCTTAGATTTCACCTTCCTGAAATCAGACATGGATGCCTTTTTTGTGCAGTTCAGCAAATCACAAATTACTTGAAGCTGCTGTTTTCAAACTGCTCCATGCTGAACCACTGGCAGTGTCCCAGAAGAGGCAGCCCTAGTTATTCTGTCGCTCCCAGAGAAGCCAGATTACAAAGCAGAGAGCTCTTAAAAGGCTCTCAACAAGGACTACAGCCACCAGGAGTGTCCCTCCACTCACCTGTGGGGGATGGAGTCCTGGAGGCCTGGCCAACGCCTTTCCCGGAGGCTGCTGTGGTATCTTACTGGCCCACTCACCTTGCAGCAGACAGCAGCACTTTCAATGGCAAGAGCATCCAGGCCACCATCTACCCCCGCCCCCAGCCTCAAGGACTGCTTCCTTCAGCTGTGAGCAAGGCTGCCCAGTCACCTGGTGGAAGCCAGGCCGCAGTCCACAAGTTTCAGCTTGCTGCGGGCACCAGGGCACTTACCCACGCTGGTGATCTTCTGTGTGCCCAGGTCCTGCAGCAGTGCGTCGATTGCTGGGTTGCGCCTGGAGTACAGCTCATATCGGTTAATGCCAATATGGAACTTGAGCCAGTTGGGGTAGGAGTCCACTGTGACCTCCCCAGTGGGCAAGAATTCTCCACCTTCAGCACCTTCATGAGGCCTACAGAAACAAAGACAGTCCAAAGTGAATCAAAAGAAAGATCCCAAGAGAGAAGAGCTGGTCCTAAGCCAGGGCCTGTGACCTTGGGTTAAAATGCAGACTTGAGGAAGCACCACTGCTCAGAGACCCTGCAACTCTGCACTTTCTTTGGGGCTTTGGTTCGCCCAAGTAATAACACACCTGAGGTCTATAATTCTCGTTTACCCTGGAGATGCCACAGACAGCTATAACTATAGCAAGACTAAACCCAGGGTGTCAGCGCAATCCTTGCCCTGTCTGTTCTGGGGTCACCATAACTGCTTGATAGAATGATGTCAGCTGGAGTTCGGGGCTGCTGGCCCTTCCTAGGAGCAAACAGGAGGCCCTCTCTTTGACCAGATGCCTGGCAGTCACGGGCACACCCAGTAGCCAAGAACCTTTCCAGTCTCTGCTTTTGTTCCAACGAACAGGCAGGAATGATGCAAGGGGCTAAATTTGATTTTAACATGAACAGACTTAGGTGGGGAGGCGGGGAAGGAGAGACAGCTGCTCACCGCTGCCCAGACTCAGGTGGAGGACACACTGCCCACATGGCCTGTCCTCTCTTTCCTGGTCAAGGGCTGGTGTGGAGAAAAGACAGCTCCTTAGTCTGCCTGCTGGGCTGGGCACAAAGTGGAACCTTCTCATGTCCAAGTCACCCAAAGGTGAAGTCCTTCGGACCTCAATTCAGTCCTACACAGACACAAAAATGGGTGAGAGGCTCCCAGGAGCCAGCCCTGATCACTTGCTCTGGGCTGTTTCTCTACCATACAGCCACAGGCCTGGACCACTGTTTTGACTCAAATTTCTGAGCATTTTCTCAAATCTGGCCAGCAAAGCTCAGAGTCACCTACATATAGCCTTCTGGTGCAGGCATAAAGCACAAGGCCTGGTCCAATTTCAGGGGAAGAGGATTTTCATTGAGTGTTTTGGAAGCCTGGCCTCTCCTCCGTTGCTTGGGTAACCTTTGCAGGTAGTTAGAGTATTTGTTCTGACCTTGCTGCAAGTTAATATTTCACTGCTCTGGGCTGAAGCATCTGCTTATTTGAATCTGTGCAGGAGAAAGGGCCTTGGGGGAAGGGTAAAGCAGGGCAGGTCCAATATGCTCCGGGTGGGCAGCTCTGCGCCTGTTACAGCGCGTGCCCAGAGCAGCAGCCTGCTGTCCACACTTCCACCCAGGGGCCTCTGCTCTGGCTCGCTGCTGCCAGCACACTTATCTGCTAATCCTATCCTTAGGGACTGCTTTAAACAGACTTGTTAGACATATCCAGGGCTTCTCAAGGTGCCTACCAGGAAAGTGATACCAAGTACCTGATTCCAGCACATTGCCAGTCAAGGTGGCTCTCCTCACTAATGCACAGGATCCCCAGTACATTCATTCATGGCCTGACTCTGCTTCCCTATCCTTGGCCAGCGCAAATCCTTGCACTGGAACACTGGGCTCCCTGGTTCACTGTCCAGTCATTTTGCACCTCAGATACAGGGTCCCTCCCAAGCCACCGCACCCTTCCCAGGGAGGGAGCATCTGGAAACAAAGGCAGCCCCACCCACAGGGGCTGTTAGGCCTCCACCAGGCCCTGGACCTGGACACATAGTATCCCGGTGCAAGAGCTCTTTGTGAGGAGCACCTTTATTCTGGGAGGGTCCCCGCTCTCCCAGGGGTCTGGACCTGCCAGTCCATCCTCACTCACCAGTCAGGGTTCTCCGCCACCTTCGGGTTAAACCTGATGTCGCTGTTGACATTAAACAGGACATCGTCCTCTGTCAGCGGCGGGATGGTCCCGCTATATAGCGGGTGCGCGAATAGCTTGGCCAGGAGCGCGCTGTCCCCACTCGGCCCTGGGGGCGGTGCCGGTCGCCGATGCCCAGGGTCGCGCAGCAGCGGACGGTGCGCGGGGTCGCGCGGTCGTGGAGCGCCAGGCTGCCGACCCCGCGGGGCGTGTTCGGCTGGCTCGGCCGCAGGCGGCAGCTTCTCCAACGAGTGGGACGTGAGGTTGGAGGCGGGGTCGGAGCTGAAGTCCTGGAGGATGCGCAGCGTGTGCTTGTTGGGCCAGCCCGCGTCGCCCGCGGCTGAGGCGGCGGCCGGGGGCTCCCCAGGGCGGCCCCGCGGCTGGGCCCAACCGGGCGCCTTCGCCTCCGCGGGCTGCGCACAGGAGCACCCTGGATCCCCGGGAAGCCGCGCCGCGCGCCGTTCCAGCCGGGGCAGCAGGTCCAGCGCGATGTGCAGCGCGCAGGCCAGCAGGAACACCATGAGGATGAGCACGCGGAACCGGCGCACCAGGATCATCTTCATGGCCGGCGCCACGGGGCTGGGGACCCGGCGCCGTCCGCCAGCGCGCTGCTCTCCCGCGCCTCAGCCGCGGCTGTGCACGAAAGTGGCGCTGCCTCGCGGGTCAAGGTCCATCCGGCTAGAGTAGCTACCAGCTCCAGGGCTGTTCCCTGGCGTGGACAACGCGGAGGGCGCTCGTCGCCACGGCGCCGGCTCTCCGGGCCATCTCGGGCCGGTCCTGCTTGGTCTCTCGGGAACCACTGATCGCCCTTATCCACGGGCCTGGAGGGTCGTGGGGTGGGAGGCGTAGCTGGGCGAGGCGCGGCTCTTCGGGGTCGCAGCCACTTCACCGGGCGCTAGGGAACCCCACGCTGCTGTTCATCCCGGCTGAGGCGAGGCGCTCCGGTCCATACGCGTTCCTCCCGGGCTCCTTGGTGCGGAGTTGGTCTCAGGTTGGCGGCAGGGCGCTTGGGCCGGAGGGGCTGGGCAGGTGCAGCGACGTCCCCTAGCGCGGCGCCCGCTCGGCCGAGCTCTCTCGCTCCGCGCCGGGCCCGCAGATATCCCCGCGCCGCGGAGCCGCCCCCCCGCGTCAGTGCCTGCAGATTGGCGGAGCCGCGGCCCGGAGGATCAGCGCGGCCCGGCACTCGCTCCTATCCGCCTTCTCCGCCCCCAGCCGCGCCCCGCGCCGCTGAACGGAGAGCACCTCCTCCCTGTCCGCGGAGGCCGCGAGGCCCGCGGAGGAGCGCGGCAGAGGCCCAGCCTGGCCGCCGCCCCGGACCTCCGCCCGCGCCCGCCAGCTGCGGCCTGGGGCTCCTCCCCAGCGAGCCGGCCGGCCCGGCCTGGCCAAGTCCCTCCCTGGACCGCTGGGCGTCTGCGCCGCCGTATGCGCGCGGGGCCGCGAAGCGGAGCGGGAGCGTGGGCGGGGGGAGCAGTGCTGGGGCCACGCGCGCGCGAAGAGGACCGGAGGAAAGCGCTGTGAGCCCAAATCCGGAGGCGACGCCGGAACAGCGGCCCACCCCACCCAGGGACCACGCCTGCGCCTTCAACCCCGAGGCGCCGCGCCCGCACTGCTCTCCGGGCATCGAGGTGCGGGGGGAGGGGAGGCACCTCCTGGGCGGTGGGCGGGGCAGGACGCGTCTTGCCCTCCCTAGCGCGCGATCCGGGACGAGCTCACCGAGGGGAGCAGTTCTTCTGCCACGTGGCCTTTGGATTTCCAGTCCCCTGGAGAATGGGAACCCACGTGAATTTCTACTTAAAAATTGTAGTCAGGGAGGTAAGTGGGGAGGATTTCGGTGAGATCCGCTGCCCATGCCCTGGGGGCTTCACAAGCTAGGCAAGGAGGAACCCAGCCCAGCAACTTCTCCAACAGGACCAGGTAGGGGACTGAATGCGGAGCATTTCCTTCGTCTTGGACTCGCATGCTGAGGCTCTCACTACTGTCTCGTGGGCCTCGCTTGGGACACATAAATTCATCACTGAGTCTGGTGCCTGGTCCAGTGCCTGACGTTAAGGCATCACCCACTATTGCTTGTTGAGAGCAGAGGTCCTGCCTATCTCCTTAGCAGAATCAATCCCTAGATCAGGAGCTCGGGGCTGAGTTGAGTTGGAGGCTGTGCTGGGATGGGAATGTAGCCAGAAGGTGAGGAGGGTTAGGTTTGCGTTGGGTCTCTGGAAGGACACAGCTTTCCCCTAGAAATAGTCATAACTTCTTCCCGCCTCAGCAAGTAGTGTACAGATAGGGTGTCCTCCTTGGCTTTGGGCTCGCTGGACTGCAGCCCCCATTCTTCCTGTGGTCTGTATCCCAGACAGCAGAGCTGTGACCAGCAATCTCAGGATAGATCTGGTGAGCTGACCTGGGAACCTGGGGTGTATTGTTGGGGTCTCCTGGAGCCCCCTGGAGTCTGCTGGGATTGTGGTCACTCCTGTCCACCACTGGATGGCTCCCTTGCTGGGTTCCTGATTTTGTTCCTCCCATCCTGGAAAAGCCTGTCTGCTAAACAGGTCGCTTGAGATGCCCCTTCCCTTGGTCCCATTATGTCTGCTGTCCTGACAACACTGTCACTAAAGATACTTTCTTCAGTGTCATTTGTTTCCTCCCAATACATGTGCGCTACCAAGGTAGAGTCTCAGATGATGCCCTGCTTAGCACCAGGCTCAGAGCAGGGGCCCAGGGAAGAGACCACAACTGACCAGCTGCGGGTCAGCGCCAGCAGGCTAAGGTGACATGCAGAAACGATCTTCCAAAACAAAGGACACCCCACAGAGGAGAGGGTGACATGCCTGCAGCCTGCTCCTTTTTTTTTTTTTAACTTGATCTGAAGAGTAATTTGATGTGATTAAATCCATTAATTCCTGGAAATTACAAAGACATACACAAAGATGCACGTTCGCAGACATACACAGACACATAAACAGACATACACACACCTACACATACTCAGAGACATAGACATCCAAGCATACATACACAGACACACAGAAGCATACGCAGAGACACATAAGCAAACACATAGACACACATAAACATCCAAACATGTATACAAACAGACACAGACACACATGCATAGAGACACACAGACACATATAGGGGCACAGATACGCGGAAATGCACACACACACACACACACACACACACCTCGGGACTCACCGACCTTCACTAGATCTCTCTGGCTTCTTGTTCTGTGGGCACAGGCCCCGACAGGCCTGGGTGGGCACCTGTTGATGATGTAACTCATTGGAGACAAAGGGACAGTTCTGGGGATTTCTTATGCATGTACTGGTGCTCTAATAAATCACTGTGAACATATCAGATGGTGACATGTCTGGAGAAAGGGTGATGTATGGGTCGTGAGGTGCCTGCTGCCTTACCTGGGGTGGCCAGGGAAACCCAGGAGTGACATCTGAGTAGAAATGTATACGTGAGGAATAACCCACTTGGAGGTCTGTGGCTGGTATATCAGGAGGAAGCAGGGAGTGTGCAAAGGCCCTGAGGAGCACATGGGCATGCAGGGGTGCATATGGGCACTCAGGAAGATAGAAGCAGGCCAGAGAGGCTAGAGTTCAGGGAGGTGTGTGGGACAATGTGTAAGGCCTGCAGTTGGCCCCAGGTGATGGGCTGTCTGGAGACTGAGGCAGGCCAATGTAGGGTAGGGATTGGGGGGATGATGAACCTCAGATGAGGCTTCTGAGTTAGGTTGGGGCTACCTCCTGGCCAGCAGAGGAAGCTGAGAGCAGTGGGATGACAGAGGCCCCCACCAAACCCTGAGCAGGTGCCAGGAATGATCTGGACCAATTGCTCCCTTGAAAGGAATTGCCCAGGCCAGAAACCTTCACGGAAGACCTCTAGGCCACCAGAGAACTTCCTGGGGATTAGAGCCAGTGTTCCCTGAGTCAGGAGGCCCAGGAAGCCCTGAGGGATCCCCAGAAGGTTAAGAAGCAGAGCCAATGCCTCAAGTGAGGAAGAGGAAGAAGGAGCCAGGGTAAAGACAGGGAAGTCACTGGTGATAGCCCTGCCACTGTGGTACAGTTGTGGGGTAGGGAATGACAAAAGGAGGCTTTGAGAGGTGGGGACCTTGAAAGGCAGGGAGGAGAGCCTTATGAGGGGCCCTGTCTCCCAGGCAGACAAAGAAGAAAAAAGCAGATGCATTTAAACTCGTGTGCCTCTGGCACTGGATGTCTGAGCAGGTGTCCTCATAGATGCGTGGACTGCTTTCAGGTAAATATCATTGTCGAGGAGCAAAGAGAGCAGATGTGGGGAAGGTGTGCCACGCAAGAGCCCTGTGGCTGCCTTCCCTTCCCTTCCCGATAGGAGATTTCCTCTCTTCCAGGTACAGAGGGACATTCCTTGATGAACTTGAATCTCCCTTACAAAGAGGATTCATTCTTGTTTTCAAGAGCTTTCAGGGTTTCTTTTGTTTCTCAAAATAACTAGCTCAGAATAATGTGTATGCCAGATGCACATTTGGGGGTATTTTCTGTCTCCTAAAGCCACATTTAGGGGCACAGTCTCATGTTCTACATGTGAAACAGAACAGAAAAATGCATGAAGATGGGATGATGGCAGGATGAACCTCTAGTTCGTGGACAGTGAGGAATCCTAAGTACTGACTTTGGCCTCAGGGGCCACAGGACCCCCATCTCTACTGTGTATCCCAGTGTCATTTCATGGCAAGAAGATCTACAGGAGAGAGACGGGCTTGGAGGACCCAGAAGCTTCCAGGAAGGTATCTAGGTTGCAGTGGGGCGCAGGGTTGGCAAGGACCCCACAGGAGGTGTTATGACTGGGCTAGAGGGCATCTTGGGGTTTTCTAGTGAATGGGGGCACAGGAGGGACTTTCCAGGCAGGGAGTGGTTGGGAAGGTACAGAGAAAGGCTCTGGAGGACCCTGTCACTGTTGGGTTGCTGGGGCCTGCAGTGGTGAGGAAGCATTCTGCTTGGTTTTACCACCAGCTGCTTTCTCTTTTGAGTTCAGAACTCCAGGGTAGGAGAGAGAAGGTAAAATACCATAAGCCCCTAGCAGTGCCAGGGCCGTCAGCCTGGCTGAGCAACCATCACCAATCTTAAAACAAAGGCTGCTTAGTGGTAGACAGAGGAGGCACAGGGAGGGGCAGAACAATTTGTGCAAGAGAAAGAGGCCCACTTGTGCATTGTTGTATCCCAGATATCTGGACAAAGCTGAAGCAATTCTTGCGATGAAGATCTATAATGGATATCCAAGGTGACCAGGGTAGGAGAGAGACTTTGGGCTGTAATGTTTGATGGTTGGGGATGGAGACAGCTGGAGAAGAGACCTTCCTTGAGCTGCAGGTCAAGGATTGAGAATCCATAGCAGACCCAGCCCCTCACCCCAGATAGCCTGCTGAGGTCCTATCAGCAGGATGACAGGCTTTCCTGCCCAGATGGTTGCACAACACTGCAGATGAGTCCAAGACTCCTTCCTGGGTGGGGTTACAAAAGTAGAACAGCCTGAGAACTGGCACACCCCTGTGCCCCGCCCCCTGGCCTGGCCTACAGCGGCCAACCAAGGGTCATGGTGGTGGAGAGGGAGGCCCCTGTTCAGGCAGCCATCCACATCCTGTATCCTGGGTGTTTTCCTAAGGATCACCCATCTACAAGGCCCCAAGAAACACTGGGGCTTCTGACTACAGACAGCTCTGGCCACAGACTATTTTGAGAGCGTGAGGTGGGCAATGGACTGGGCTGGGCAGCTGGCTAGTGCTCCACAAAGTGGAGAAAGAAGGAAGAGCCACCTCTGCTGAACATCCAAATTTTGTCACACACACTTTATGAATTTTACTCCTTGTCTGGAATATGGTGCTGGTGGGGAAATGGACCGGTTATCAGGATTCACATAGGAATCCAGGCATGGATCAAGAATGTACTCCTAAGGCCTTCATGGGCTCATAAGCAGGGCTTTTGCAATGTAAATGAGTTATGGAGGCTTATAACTGACTTGCTGTTAGGAGGTAAGAGCTGGACAGAAGAGGCAAGTCATGTGGGGCATGACCTGGAAGGACATATCTCCTTTCTTAGCTCCTCCCTTCTCTCTTTGCTTCTTGGATGTTATGATGGGAGCAAGCTTTTCCTCCACTATTCCCCTCTGCCATGCTATTTTCTACTCTAGAGCTAACCAACTATAACTATAACCATGAGCCAAAATAAAACCTGTCCTTTAAGTTGAGAATTTTGAGTATTTTGTCCCAGTGATGAGGAAGTGACTAAGACAGGATTTTGGTACCAGAGAAGTGAGTTGGTTCCTAGGACTATTCCTAAC